TTTGTCACCCTCCGCTGTACTCTCTCCAATTTATCCAAATACTTTTTTTAGTGGGGGGCCCAAAACTGGACACAGTACTCCAAATGTGGCCTTACCAGTGCTTAATAGAGGGGAATAATTACTTCCCTTGACCTACTGGCAACATACCTACCAATGCAGCCCAGGATGCTGTTAGCTTTTTGGGCAACTAGGACATACTGCTGGCTCATATTCAGCTTATTGTCCACTGTGACCCCCAGGTCCTTTTCTGCAGAGTTGCTGCCCAGCCAGTCATCCCCCAGTCTGTACTGGTGCATGGGATTGTTCCATCCTAAGTGCAGAACTTTGCACTTGTCCTTGTTGAACATTATGAGATTTCTTTTGGCCCAATCCTCCAATTTCTGAATCCTAGCCCTACCCTCCAGTGTATCTACTATGCCCCCGAGCTTGGTGTTATGTGAAAACTTGCTGAGGGTGCACTCTTTGCCATCTTTGAGGTCATTGATGAAGACACTGAACAAAATTGGCTCCAGGACGAACCCCTGGGGCACTCCATTTTATACCGGCTGCCACCTAGACATTGAGTTATTCGTTACTACACTCTGAGCCTGATGCTCCAGCCAGTTTTCTATCCACTTTACAACCCATTCATCCAGCTCATACTTCCTTAACTTGCCTGTGAGAATGTTGTGGTAGACCATATCAAAAGCTTTGCTAAAATCAAGGTATACCACATCCACTGGTCTCCCTGTATCCACAGAGCCAGTCACCTGGTCATAGAAGGCAATCAAAGTGTTAGGTATAACTTGCCCTTGGTGAATCCATGCTGACTGTTCCTAATCACGCTTTTCTCCTCCAAGTGCTTAGAAATGGGTTCCTTGAGTATCTGCTCCATGATTTTTCCAGGGAGTAAGGTGAGGCTGACTGGTCTGTAGTTGCTAGGAGCCTCCTTTTCCCCTTTCTTAAATATGGGCACTATGTTTGTCCTTTTCCAGGACTCTCCTGAATCCCATGAGTTTTCAAAGATGATGGCCAATGGCTCTGCAGTCATATTAGTCAGCTTCCTCAGTACCATTGGGTGCATCCCATTTGGCCCCATGGACTTATACACATCCACATTTTCTAAGTAGTCCCTAACCTGTTCTCTCACCACTGAGGGCTGATCACCTTCTCTCCAAACTGTGTTGCCCAGTGCAGTAGTCTGGGATGTGCCCTTGCCTGTGAAGATGGATGCAAGCCAGAGGAGTCTAGGGTGGGAGACCCATGGCCCAGTGCCAGGGCACAGGTACAAGAAGCCCTCAGGCCCTACTCATCCAGGAAGGGCTCCCAGTCATTGAGGGTGGGGAAGTAGTCAGCCAGGGCTTTGCAGATTCAGAATGCCTGCCATTGTCTGAAGCTAGTGCCCCCAACATTAACAGGGGAACTCACCTTCTTCCCAATCCCTGCACCACATATGCTCAAGCTGCCTTGTCTGGCAGTCCAGGGACCTGCAGGTCATGCTGGAAGGTGTGCAGGAGCACACACAACCTGCACACCCCGCTCCCCCACCACCAAAGGGTGAACATGTGTTTTGTTCACTACCGATCTAACCTAGGCTGCTTCCAGAAAGCTGCATAACTTAGATCAATTTTGCCTTGGGCTTTCTGAACATCTGTACTTAGCCTTAGTGTTTTTGGTATTTCGAAAGCATTTTCAAAGATCATTAATAAAACTACAGTTATGGAAGTACCGGATAATCTTTACCTGTATTATATTTTTTTCAGCCCACTTAGATCCAGATTTGGGGCCTTAATGTTGCAACTAGTTTTCACAAAACTTGAGATACACTAATTGAGGCCCACAATGGAAATCCAGCATTTTAGGAAGTTTTGTGCACTATTAGCCCCTGGGCAAGGTAGCTCCTGCTTTCAAGTATCAATAGAATTACTAAGTATGTTTACATGTGTGCATTTACCACTCAGTAACTGCTGTGCAATACAGTCATGTGTCTACATGTACACAGCAATACAGCACAGTAAATATGGCAACTTATGCCAACTTGAGCGTAAGTTTGATACCTGCTTCTTGCGGGTATCAAATTTACGCCTGATTAGTTACTGCGTAGTAACACACGTGTAGACACCTTACTGCACAGTAATGCGTGTGTGGACTGATGTAGAACTAACTTTAGTCCCAAGGTATAGCCCCTGGCATTTGTATGCAGGCAAGTAAGCCTGCCATCAGAGGTCCTAGGCTTCCTGGCACTCCTAAAAGAGTCTCATCCCTGGGCTGGGGTAGGAGTGAGTTCCAACATTCCACTAGGTTTTTTTCTCTCTTGTTTTCTATGGGAACAATGTAGTGCCATTCAGTATTGGTTGGGTCTGTTGGCTTGACTAGGCAGTTTCTACTTAGGAAATTCTATCCCAAGCACAGCTGGCTGTCTGAACCTCCTGTTATTGACACAACACTATTCAAATCCACTTGTGTTATGGAATGAAATTATTTATAGGTGGAAGCTCAGAGTCATGTATTTATTAATTGAATTTTTTACATCTTTCCACTCCAGCCTCAGTACTTGCCTTGATTCTGCTTCTTTCTGATGGACACTCATGCATTAACAGAGATGCAAGTTCTGCAACTTCTCTTCTTTTTGTCAGAGAACACAAGAACAAAGACCACATTCATACATATGACTAAGTGGCAGATTACAAACTGAGAAAAGGAATACTTTGAAACAAAACCTGTGATTAAACCCTGGAACTCCTTATCATGAACTGTCGCTGAGGCTAGAGCTTCTCAGGTTTGAAAATGAATCAGATACTTATTTGGACAGCAAGATTATCCAGAATGATAAAATGTAATGTTAAAAATTAAGAGTACTTGTGTTGAACTCCTGCTTCAGAGTTTACAGTAATACCAGATTCTATAGGATTAGGATGATGAGACTGTCAAGGGTGTCTATTCCACAGGATTATCCCAGATCTGCTTACTTTAGAGTTTTTTCCACTCTCATCAGAATGATCTGATGTTGATACCAGGAAAAATTGCTATGCGATGTGGATCACATTCCTGATCAAGGATGGCAGTTTCTTCTATCCCTATAGATATGGTCAGTGAGTTCTCTCTCAAGCACCCTTAAATTAAAATGAACTAAAAATAACTAAAATTAATTCCTGCCTGGCATGACCAGTGAAACACAGTGAGATGAATTTCAGTTTGTGGAAATGTCTGATAGCATGTTGAGATCATCATCATTGGCTATCCCTTGCACTTGAAGATGCTTGTTTTCCATGATTGCCTTATCTGTGTGTCTGAAGATGGTTAATGAGGCCTATCCAGGATTAAGAGGCTGTGTTGTAGCTGGGGCATTTTTTCCATGTAAGGTGGGTGGCTCTGGGTTCTTGATTTGGTTTCCGGCACACTGTATCTGCCACTCCTGCTTTTGCATCTCCTGTTATTGTCATAAGGTTTCGAAGTACTAAGATCCTTTCAGCAGACTCTTCCTCCATTTGTGGCAGTCCTGGGTGACCTTCTGCCACTGATGTTGATGTTGCATTTTTTCAAGTTGGTCTTGAAGACAACCTTGAAGCACTTTCTCTGCCCTACTCTTGAGAGTATACCTTTACTAAGGTGGGTGAATAAAGATAATCAAATAATTATCTTTAAAATAATTTAAAAAGAATTTTAAAATTGGTAAATTATAACACCAATTCTGAAATAATTAGTTCTTAGAATTCTTAATTTCTCTCTTTATTAAAGCATGTTGTGGACAGTTTTAGTGCCAGAGATGATAAGTATCTGCTTATAAAGACCGCCTTTGTTCAAAGAGGTAAACTAGCCCATTAAACCTGAACAAGTTAAATGCAGCTTCAAGTACTTTTGTTCCTCTTTTGAACCTTATGCCAAAATGTTGTAATTTATAATGACATCTTTCCAGTTTCACAATGAGTTTTATATCTTCTGTAGCTGTATGAATGATCAGACAAGCAGTAGGACAACTGATTGACAGATTATAATCTCCCTTATATCTATTGCTATTTGGTGTTGCTTTTAACACTATCAGGTAAAAAGTGTTCAGACAAAAACGGAATCTTAGTTGGTAGCATTCCATTAGGAGCCCAGCTAGTATCACAGAACAAGTATGATCCACATGGGAGGGGACAGAGAAAGTATAAAGGGAGAAGTTGCAGGAAGAACAAGGACTTTTCAAGAGATTTGTTCTTGTGTTTACCTATTTTCACTTTTTCCCCCAAAGATAAAGGGTTCTTAGCCCTATGCTAGTGCAAAATTTGGTCTCATCCTCCCTAGTGCAGATTTATAAATTGATGTGGAGTGTAGAAGAGTACATAAGAGCTATTTGCTCTACATACAATCTTTAATGCAATAAAATTATTGTCTATAATACACTTTCAGAAATGTCTTGTATATGGTGAAACCAAGAGCACCTGCTATTATTTTGTAACTGTGGGTTTTCATGATGTTGTTAAATCTATAAAAGTCTACTGAAAATTTCCCTGCTCGGGGCTGAAACTTCCAGGCAAATATTTCTCTCATAGGTAAATCATAATCATTGGGAGAAAAGGTAAGGAAACACTTTCTGCAGAATGCATACCCCACAGAGCTTTCTGTACTTTGTTAAGACCTCTTTCCTGATGGCATATTATGTTACCTTAGCAAAGCTTTTGGTTTACATGTAAAAACAGTATTCAACAAGACATCTTCAAATATACAGTGATATTCAGTTAACTTTATAAGAATTCTAAATAACAACAATATAACCAGTCAACATTTAAAATATTATTTTTAAAAGAAAAGACTGAGCAGGCATTTTATTGAGTAATGTGTCTAAGGAGCTAGAAGTAATTGAGAAAGGAGGAGGTTCTGCGAAGGGTGCGTCTGAGAAAGTTGGATCAATAGGCTGGTGGAAACTTTTTGCTGGGTGTGTCAGAGAATATTAAATGCCATAAATCAAATAGTGATGAAAGGATAAAACTGGTCCAGTTTCCATCTGAGCAGTGTGACAGCAGACCTGGGAACAGAAAATCTGAGTGCAAAGTGTGTAGCTAGAAGTGAAGATGCCACCACAGTCTGGTCCCTCAAAAGAGAAGTCAGAGCCTGTTCCAGATTTTACCCAACATTTTACTTGGGAGGAGATTGCAATCCATACTGGCTGGGGCCATGGGACCTCAGGGAAGGACCGGTGGCTGGTAATTGACAGGAAAGTCTACGATATCAGCAAGTTCTACCTGATGCACCCTGGAGGCAAGCGGGTAATCAGCCATTATGCAGGGCAAGATGCTACGGTAAGACCTGAAAAGGGGGAGCAGCACAAGTGGATGGTGTCCTATCAGCCACAATACAAAGTAGGATGGCATGATGAGACCTGAGGGAGGGTACCTATGCTTGGCTGGATGACAGAGTGACATAGTTAACAAAAGAGGAAGAGAGCAATAGAGAAGTCAATGTCCAGAAAGATAGAGTATTATTTAAGGTAAAGGACCTAGGGAAGACACAATATCCTAAGGTAGATTATGAAGGTGGAGGTATTATTTTGAACCAGTGGGCACAGTTGGAGAATTCCCAGAGGCAGAGAGAAATTTCAAAGGTATGCATCAGGTGGAAGGCTAGGAATGTGGAAGAATGATCTAAGGATCAGCAGGA